GGGGGGGGGGGGGGGGGGGGGGGGGCGCAAAGTGTGTGTACACAGAAAAAATTGTTTGGTGAATGTCACCGACTAGTTGTTTACATTCATCAACTAATTGTTGAAATTTACCAACTACATAATAACTTTGTCGAGGGAATTTTATTTGCACCAATTATTATTTGGTTGTTAATTTTCAAATATACATGATTTTATAGGAAATACGCTGTTAGAAATTTCTGGAAATTTCAGTCACAGCGTCATCTGAATTTTCGATGTTGAGAGGTTGAATTTAACTGCGAATGAAAGTGTTAACTAAATTTTTCATTCATCTTGAAAATTCCAGAAAATGGGGTTTTTTATGTTAAACAATTATTGATTTTTCAATGAAAGCTTGAATTTCCAACCTCATCGTGAAAATAGATAGAGAGAATAGAATAGATTGAGAATTCAGAATAGTTGTTGCCTGAATTTTCAAAATTTACAAGGTTTTTCAGTGCCACATAGGGGAGGGTGTGCCTGTACCGCTCAGCGGGTAATACCATTCACCCGATTTTCTCCGCAACCATCAACTTAAAAATTTCTTTCTGTTCCTGATCATGAAGAATTTGATGATAGGATGTGATTGTTTGAACATTTTCACTTTATTTACCACTTTAAATATGAAAAAACACGTAACGAAGTTTTGAGGTCTTTACAGTGCACAATTTGTGGACTTTTAATTAAGGTTTTTGATAGTTTCAAACGCTCAATTCTCATATTAAACTGTGGTTATTCGATTCGTGGTACTTTCACGCGTAATTTGAAACCAATTCGAACTTAAAACTCCACTCATGTCAATAATTATCAACTATTTTGTTGACGCCGAGCGGAGCCGGTAATACCGCTCATAGGATCGGCCACGTAGTTGCTCGACAGCACTCGGTACAGGTTAGGTTGCGGCGCGAGCGATACACGAAAAACCCTATGAGCGGCATTGAAATCGTGCCGAGCGGTATTACCCAACGGTGGGTAGTACCGCTCAATACGCTCTCTCTTTTATTTTCAATCAATTTTGTGGATTCTAAGGAAAATTAGGCGTCTACACTTCGAGAATAACGAGTTCAATAATTAAAGAAGTCTCACAAATACGTTTTTTATACTCAAGTTGAAATATAAAATATAAAACTGGCATTACCCCTTAGGTGGGCGGTATAGGCACACCCTCCCCTAGTTGGTGAAATTTAACAACTGATCAATTAAAATTCAGGAAAGATTTTTCAGTTTCATTCGACAACCATTTGTTGAATTTTCGATAAATGTTCGTCAATTTTTTTGATGGATCAAATTTAACAACAAATTGCAGATTATAACAAAAGCAATTTCTAGGCGATACATTGATCGATTATCAAGATACAAATCACATAATATATGCCCTCACCATCTAGTTTGGTAGTCAAAATTGATTGAATTTATTGAATTAGAAGCTCAAACTGGTTGCTTTTCATACTAGATAGTACTGTTGAACATTTTTGACTACAACTTCCTGTGAACTCCTCGGAATTTTTTTCTCATTGAAATTTCCGGTTATTTCGTTATTAAGAATTCTGAATTAATTAATTAGTTGTTAAATTTCACCTACTAGTTGGTGAAATGAAATGAATAATTTTCCCCGTATATAGGCTCTCTACACTGTTAGAAAAAAAATGAAATTTCATGGACAATTGACTACTAATTTTTAGGACAGTAACACTGAATGCGATTTAGGAGAGAAAAATCATGAAATTTCAGGTTTCACTGAAAATTCAGTATAATTCCAGAATTTTAGGCAGCTTAAAGACGAGAATTCCTCAATTTATTTGAATTTCCAACCTAATATGAATATTCTTTTCTCCTTAAATCGCCTTCAATGTCATTGTCCTGAAAATTCAAAAATATATCTACCGGAATTTTCTGGTTTTCTATTCATTTTCAGGGAAAAATGGAACTGAAATTGACAATTCTCTTTGATTTTTCTCCGAAATTCTAAATTTTCAATGACGAAATTCCTTGAAATTTCAGTGAGATTTTTCCGGGACTGGATTTTAGCCAATCACAGCGCAGTATTCGAGGTCACGATACTCTTTTGTTATCAAATTTTTTCGGAAATTGCACACTAGCTTCTGGAAAATTCATCTGATAATTGCATAGTAGCTCTTCATTTATTTCCAACCAATTGGGTGTTTTGCTGGAAGAAGCCCTCGAATACTGCGCTCTCCTTGGCCAAAATCCAGTCCCGGAAAATTCTCCGCCGAATACCCCTCGACCTTCAAAATTAATCGCAATATTTCCCTCAAGCTTCCCTGCAATCAAACAAAAGTGCAAGCTAAAAATGATTTTACTGCAAAACTTGACACTTTCGTTTGTTTACAACGAAGCTATTGGGAAATATTCCGATAATTTTGAAGGTCTCAGGGTATTATAACTGATAATTAAATTCGACAAAAATTTCCAAAAATTGTACCGGAAATTTCAGCGAAAAATTTTGAACAGTGTACCTTGAGTTTTATGCATTTGTCTGAGGTTCTGAAGCACTCAACAGTGAATGATCTCTTTTCGATCTTGGTTGGGGTGAAGAATGTCTTCGAAAGTGAAAATCAATTTTTGGGAGGAGGGACTGGGAATTTTTTTTCGGGGAGATGTGGAGGAGTCAATTCTTTGCAGTCGTCGACGGCATTAACGCTCAGACGCTAAACGATTGGGTGTGGGAGGCATGGTCCGGGCGGGGGTGTAATGGGGAGATGTACTGCTTGGATGCCGCCGAATTAGATGGCTTCCGGCTGAAGAAAGAGGGATACGTTGAGGAATTAATTCTACGGGGCCTAGGAGAGAAGAGGGAGTCAGGGAGTAATTGGAAAAGACGGGTATCGGAGGTTCAATTCGGGCGGACAGATCTGAATTCTTAGGCAGAAAGACGCGTCTTGAGAAGTGATTAGAGAGGACGTAGGTCGGAATTGTAATTTTAATGGGGCAATCTCAAAATTTGAATCTAAAAGGACGTAAATTGGGAGTGATTGCAGTGGTATGAATAAACTCCAGTTAAGGATATCTAAGTACTTTGACTATTTTCTCTCCACACAAATGCGTTTCTACTTTTGTAGTCGAACATCAGAGCTTTAATTTTAGCCCCATTTGATCCTAAGTTTACATTGCATTTTACAATGATTTAACAATGATTGACATGTTACGATGATTTTACTATTTAACTTTGCAAGTGTGATTTTAATGGCGATATTGAACCGTTAGAAAACAATTCTAAACTCTGAAAAAAATTAGAAAGTTTACTTTTAGAGGAAGATTGATGAAATAATTGAAAAATTGCAATTTTTGAAAATTACGAACATTTTCTATAAATCTTTTATAAACGATTAATACTTCACCATGAAAATCTTTTATTCGGAATCGTAACAAATTTATTCATACTCAGAATTTTACGAGAAATCGATTCCATGTCTAAAAAATAAGGCTTCCGAAAGTTTAAATAATTTCAATCATTTATTAATAAACAACGAATGTTTAAAAAAAATTATAATTCTGTGTAAACTATAATTGGAACGACGATGAATATTGATGATTTTTTTCAAAATTTTCTCACGCAATTTCATTGACAAATTTGATGATTGAAAAAGGTTGAATCTATAGAGTGGTCTATAGAGTACCAAACTGTAAAAGGTACTTTGACTATTTTTTTCCAGTGCTTTTTCGCTTCGGCAGGCGCAAAATACCCATTTCCCTCCTACTTTGTGTCCTTACCAACGAAATTACTCACATGATTCAAGTATATTTTATACTCAATTGTAAGGTGTAATACTCGTCTCGATGTCTTCGGAGGGATTTGCTATGGATCCATTTGGAAGCTTACTACCAATGGAATTGGTAGAAATAAACAATTAAAATACAAATAACACATAAAGTAACAGTTACATGCCTTCTGCAATATACGAGCGGTCAACTGCTTGTTTTCCCCTAAATCCCATTCAGTGTCACTGTCCTGAAAATTAAGAATATATTTTTAAAAAAAAGGAAAAAAGAAAAATGGAACTAAAATTGACATTTCAATGACGAAATTCCTTGAAATTTCAGTAGTAATTAAATTCGTTGAAAATTTCCAAAAAGTGTACCGGAAATTTCAGGCAAAAATTGTTGCGAGTGTGAACCACCTTTTTTTCTGGATTTGAAAAAAGTTCTGGGACAAATATTTCCGAATAATTTCCTCAAGATACGTCTCTTCATCTAGACCACAATAAATCCTTATCAACGGTTTTCTCCGTGCGTTTAATTCCACTCCTGAATTATTTTATCAGCTCTTCTGCTTCGAAATAAAACTCTAACGATTGTACAAGATGATAAGATAACCGATTCGATGAGAATTCCGTGCATCACCTGTACGTAAGAGTTTTATCGTGCGAAATACGCCACTCGGTGGCAATTAAATCGATGTAGTAGG